CCACCGCCGAGCAGGTTACTCGATCAAGCAGATATGAGCACATTTCTCCGAAGCAGAGAGATCAAGTTCTGGGGATATACTTCATTGTTTTCACTCACGTTCTAGCGAAAAGGTGAAACAATTTGTAGTTTTGGTAACTTTTAGTCCCGTGTGTTTTCCGTGTATATTGTAACTATTTTAGATATAGAGTTCGAAATAAAGTATCCAAATCAGAAACAGTTGGTCTGATATCTTTGGTTGAATGTAAAATAAATTGGAACAGTATTTACAAAGTGAATAAAGAGACTAAGGTAATACTGATTCAAGTGATTTTGACCAGTCTGATTCAATCCACACCAATAAAACAAGTAGCAAATAAGACTCCACAGCGAATTTCATGTATTTTATTCAAAAAACCGACTTAATTGATATCAATAGCATGATAATACCGACCGATTTACTTAGCATGTAGTTGTTTAGTTCAAGACTTTTTGGTTTTGATTAAATTGGTCAGTGAACATTATAAGAATCAATCCTAAAAGTCAATTTAGACCCTACATTGGTGAGGATTGCACTGTATTCTTACAATCCATGAAGATTTTGCAGTGTTTGTGTAGTCTTGTGTCCTCATCAAAAGACAGAGATTTTTTCAATTACCAATTGCTAGATTGATCATTAAGCTCAGCGCTGATGTTTCTCATTCTACATGTTACTAGTAATTTGGATAAACTTCTCTTTTCACTTCAATAAACGTTAGGCAAGGATAAAGTTTTTTCAAAGAACTTCAGTAATCTGGTACAGTCAAGTAGGTGTTTTCCTGATCATATTTATTTGAAGTGATTCAAGTCGGATGTCAAGCATTTGCAAGTTACTTATAGGATTGGATTTACATATTTATCCAGGGGGCAGTGGCGTGTCTGGAGGGGGGCGAAAGGGGCAGCACGTTATAGGGAGCGGCAGAACCGAGCTGTAGTTTGCGTTATTACACATGTTTTTTCTCGACGTGTTTTATCTAATTAAAAGCTGACATTATATGTTTAGTCCTGTGTTACTAACTGTGGTGATAGCGAGTCAAAAACGAATGTTCTCCCGACAGTTGACCTCAGAAAATCTCTTCCTATATTCAACAATTGCAACATTTTTGGTGCTCATATCAAGTGTGGTTTCGCGAGTTAGTGCATTAAACTGGTTTATATGTTTCAAACAATCTGTTTAATTCAAAATGTGCAATCCTGATATTTAAAATACCGGTAGAAAAGTTTAGCGTACTTTGTCACAGCTATTTTCATCTCAATTTTTGATTATCAGCAATAACGGTAAACTATGAGAAGACAGAATATGAATAATCATTGAATTATTTAATCCGTACTGAAATTTTCGAATCATAACCAAAAACTGACAAATAGCATGCAAAACGATGAAAACGAGGTAATGTTTACAATCATGCCAAAAAAGCTGTCTGTGTGGCTGTTAAAACGCCAAATGTTGCGTCGCTTTTCCAAAGTGTTATCCAAAAAAAATGAAGATTTTATAACTCCGTTGGCGGGGATGTTTTTCATACTTTGTGCGTTGCATATTGTTTATTACTCACAATTGGCTATACTCAATTCGCTACTTATTGCGAATGATCTTTCTCAAAGTAAACATATTTAATGTCTTCGATGTTAAATTAACGCCTGCCAAATTTATCTTTGATCATCATCGAAAAGAACATCCTGGCGAACAAGGGGAAAGAGGCAGTCTTTCAGACATTCGGTTGACAGCAAAGTAGCTATTAGACATAGAAATAAGTGACTTGTTTTTTGCTAATAAATGAGTTCGATCTTGTAAATGTGAGTTTATAGCTTAGGTTAATGATATACTCAATAAAACAAACGTTTCCATCTTACTTGGCCATTAATTTATTTTTTCTCGTGCACAACAACATCTATAATTTGCTCATTGCACAGATTATTTTCAAGGTTAGGTATAAGGGGCAGCATTATCAGAAACTCGTCCCGGGCAGCAGAAGAGTTTGGCACGCCCCTGCCCGGGGGAAAGAAAGGGCCATACAACGGCTTAGTCATATGGCGAACCATGGCCTTTCGTCCGGTTACCAGTAGGGATGGGCAATGTAGAATAATTTCTAGAATAGGTAAATCGAATCCAGAATACCGAATCCTATTCTATTTTCATACTTATTCAAATAGTGGGAATTTTCCTGATTGCTGGATTTAGATGTCAAAAAATTATAAATGCATTACTATAAATGTATTATTTATTTGGAAATGTCCTTAACATTGGATTTGATTTGATACTAAACAGGCATTTCTCAGGACAATGAAATCTAAGAATATTACAATATTTTTGCTTTCAATTGTTCCAAGTGTATGTAATCTCTTAATACTGATATGCTAAATTAAGACACGCTTCAAACACTTTAATAGTAAGCGGTTAAATACAAAAATAGATATGAAACGGCATTAAATCATTATTAATGTTAGAGTGCCGAGTGTACTAAAACACACCCGCTGAGAATTAATTAGATGCATGACCAGCGTGTGGCCACTGCAACCTATGCGACCGGTGTAAAATATTAAATTTAACCACTATCAATTAAAATCAACTTTTTATTCTGTGCGATCAAGACGTGCAAAACAAGGTTCCCCTAAACGCGATTTCGTAGTTAGTTATTAGTTAATATCATCTAAAGACGAATTCATTTCTATTATTATCGTTACATATCATTATCTACCCAGACTTGGCCCTACTCAAACTCAATACGTAACTATTTTCGCCGGATGTGGCATCTTTTTTCAAATTTATCGGTGAATAAAATTACTACAGACACACATGCGTCTATCTTAAAGATAGAAACGGACCGAAAGATATGTAATCTTTTGAGAGTGAAATTTAAACGCGACAGATCGTCGTGTTTTGCGATATAACTTTGTATTTCGGAAACTGGTGTAATAAAAGTAATAAAATTATTCCTAAATAATATTTGATTTAAATTAATCGCAAGTAATGTCATAACATTTCACGCCTGGCTCTTGGTTTACATGCATCATTTTCTGTGGAAAACTCGCCGGTCGCGGAAAATCATTTACAGTAATGTAAAATGAAGCAAGGCACGCCTGTAAACAATTGAAGATTGTTGCAATCAGATTATCGGAATATCGCCAGTAAGTCGGCACAGATAATTATTATTATTATCAAACCCTAGCTAGATAGCAAAGCAGGAAAACTCAAAAAATGGTGCAATAACGAGTCTTCGTCGTAAGGTGTACTTCACGACTTCTTGTCCAGTATACGTCGATTGAGATTACAGTGTTTGACGTTTAGCGAATTTACGGGTTCTTTGCGATTAGGCAAGTTTAATTAAACGAGAGAAATTTCCACGCGAGAAAGAACGCTCGTCTTTAATTGATAAATTAGAAACCCGAAATACAAAATTTGACGCACGGCGAAAACGCAAAAAAAGGTGCAATAACTGGCCTCGCCATGAGATGTACTTCGCCGACTTCCGGTCCAGACTACGCCGATTGAGATTGCAGTTTCTGAAGTTTACCGATTTTACGGGTTCTTTCCGAGCAGACGCAAGTCTATTTAAACAAGAGAGATTTCCACGCGAGAAAAACGCTCGTATTCAATTGATATTTAGAAACCTGAAATGCGAAAATCGACGCATGGCGCCGGAGAGGCGGAAACCGAATCCTGTTATCGGTTCCTCCGGATTCGGTATTCTATATTGCCCATCCCTTGTTACCAGTTCATGTCGCGTATGGGATTAGTTAGCCAGTATGTTTTCATGAGCATAGACTTGATGGTGGGGGTGCGACAAGATTCGGACTCGTGGCCGAATCTCTCGTAATTTGATACTCGGATTCGGCCCGAGTCTTTGATGATTTTACCCGAGTCCGAGATAGCATACGTCACGCGATAGTCAAGCGCAGACTGGTGGCGGATTCGAGAAATTCAACTTTTTCGTTCTGTTTTGCCACGAGACTGTCCAGCCTATTTTTCTACGTTGAAATTAAAACTAGGCGCCAAAACTACAAATTCACGACGCCGTAAGAACAAAAAAAATGTCAGCGAAAGTCAGCTGAATAAATTCCAGTGTTGCGTGTTGCTTGCCTTCCATTGCCAGACGTCGTTTAGTGAATGTTTACCACGTCCTATTTCAAGCATATACTTGCTAATCCTCGAACAGTGATTAATCCGTAATCAGCGGTAACCATGTCGCACTGTTTACCTTTATCGTTCCATAAATGATCTAGTTATTTCCGGAGAGAAACAAATGTGAGAAATAAAACGATAAAATAGTGAAAATTACGGTACTTTTGAGAAAAAAGTACAACTCGCAGATGTCAGTGGCGTTACAATCGTATATATGTACAAAAACAATCTCGCAAGTCGCGTTACAATCGTATATATGTACGAAAACAATCTCGCAAGTCGCATCGATTAAATATGTATAAATTTGGAAACTATTACTCGTGGTAATTGGGTATTAATCGGACCGACTTTTTATTTTTATCCAGTAAGTATTTACATACACCGCGATTAGTGACGGGGAAAATCAAATTTTTTCTGATAGAATAATTCGACTATTCCTTTTTATTTACCGATGGTAGAAAATTACTAGAAGATTACTTCCATATCACAGTTTGTAAATTACGGTCCCTGTTTTAATACCTATCGTGGCTGTTTTATTTTAGTATTAGATAATAAATGAAAACTTCGGAAATTTACCCCTTGCGTGCTGTTTCGAGTTATGGCATTTCTACCTAGTCAAAACAATATTTCCATATAATACATTATTTACCTGCCTCACTTAATCTGGTTTGACGTTTCCAAATGTGAAAAGGTGTTGACGCTTAATGAAAAATTGGGAATTGCAAAGATAACGATAGGCGCAGAAAGAAAACCAAAACATAATAATTCTCACATTTATCGTTTCTGTCTGTTAGCGAGAGTCGTATGTGAATTCTTACTCATAACTCTCACTTCTAAATTAATCTTAATAAATTCGATTTTGCTTTTCAAAGTGCCGTTATTTGTATTAATGAAAATGATCGTGTCATGACCATGAGTTTGAACAGACAGCCGTAACACATTTCGCCTTTTGCGTCTCTCATTGAATTATAATCAACAGTTACACATTCTTATTTTCCGCGGATTCGCCAATCGCTATTGATGGTTCTCAAACGAAGAATAGCTAGCTATTTTGTTACGATATATTTATAAGATACATTTATTCGATACTTCCACAGTTGGCAATTCTTCATTAATATCTCAATTATCACGGAAATGGGCGTCTGTATCAGCGCCGACTAAAAAAGATAACATATAAGTAAAAATTTTCCATAAAAAATTTGTTCCAAACGTGTGGGTTATGGCCCATATTTATCGTGACAGGACAGGAGCGGTTACGTGAACCACCCTACGGCGGCGAGGAGTCCAGCAATCCTCTTACACATAATGCATGGGATCATGAAAGTTGACATTTCAGTGATCGTCTGCAAATACACTCAGAAATGAGTCTCCTGTATTTCTCATTGATGTGATCTTGCCCAGAGTAGTACATTGGGTGTGATCTTCCCCAGAGTAAATTCTTTTGAAAAAATCAGATTTACGTCTTTGCATAAAAAGTATAAATAACTGAAAACAGAATGTTCATTTTACTTTTTATTTGCTGCGTTAGATGAAAGTTTGTCCAGCATATGCCTCGCCACATTTTGTGCAATTTTAGTATGAGCTCTGCCCTTGCTTAATTCAATGATAGCTGTGACTACAGTAGATACAGCTTTCTTATTCTTTGGACGTTTATGTTTGCCGGGTATGTATTTCTTCAACATGTTTTCCAAATTAATGGTTTTCAAAGCTTCGTCACAAAATTTTTCAATTGTTGAGATGTCTTTGATCATTCTCCAACTTCTAGAATCGATGATCTGTAACAGGTTAAGAAATGGATTTGAAACCAGATTTAGTCTCTTTCACCTCATAGATATATAGCAAAATATGGAATAGCCAAAGATTACAGTATAAATACGAGTGGCAACGGTACCTCCTCTGGACTTCCACCTTCATTCACCATGACGTTAAAAGTCTGAATCATGATATCACTGTTAATGTCCTGGTTATCCAGCAATACTAATAAATTAGCAGCTTGTTTTGGCGATACTGGACTGAAAATATAAATAAAATTATTAATTATTGAAAAAATTTCCTTTAGCAAGCATAGATAGCAATGGATCATTCGCACAAACATTTTCTTGGGATGATTGGTACAAAGAACTGGAAATGAGGTTCCAGTTTTATCGAGCACAAGGCTGTAGAGCAGAAATGTACAAGGTTTTTGAATCAGGGGCCAAAATTTAGCCCCCCAGCGGGCGGACGATCTAAGTGTGACAAAAAAAATGTCACATTTTATGAACAATATTTACAGTGTTACAAAAGCAAAAGTGGAAAACAATAATCTTCGAGCCAAAACTGAATACAATCACAATTCCAACAAATTTCTTGAGCTATTTTTTAGCTAAAACATCAAAATTTGGTTCTACTTTAGTTGTGGCATCATCAGGCGAGCCAGATTGATTTACCCAACGGGTCGGATTTGGCCTGCGGCCATAGTTTGCCCATGTCTGCTGTAGAGTCTGAGAAAATTTACATCAGACTATCCTTCCAGCAAATTCGGAATATTGACAAAGAGGGGGAATTTGGGGATAAAACTTTGCTGTGACTCAATTAAAAACATGCAAAACTTCAACTCCTTAGCCCTACAGTTACTGTAATACGGATTATACAGTATTGAGTCTGAAGTTAACAGTATACCTACCACTCCTTCGTTCTCCTATTTGTTGCATACATCACACCTAATAATTGAGATCGGACAAAATCAAATACAGTAAGATGGGTAAGGTTAGGAGCAGCAACCAAGATGTCAACAAAATATTCACCGATGCCATTTTCCTGAAAATGAGATTTTGTATAATTTTAATATCAACATTTTCACAATACAAGAATGCTACTTGCTCACAAATCAATTTGTTAGGCCACAAAGCCCACAATCACTTTTTGATTTAGACCGATTTGTTGCCGTACTAAGCATTTTCTTCAGTATTTTGTCACTTACTCATTGATTGCACGATATTTGCACTAATGATCAAAGACGCAAAATTACACTATTTTATTTCATACTACATTCGGTGAGGCGAAGAAATCGTCGTGCTACCTTACCCGCTATGGTAGTAATGGTGACACAAAGCGTTCTTCGACGCTTCCGAATGATTTAATCTAATTATCCAGTTTGAAAAAACATGCTGCATGTTGTCACAGATTAGTTAGTTAGCTGTATGTTGCACTTGCCAAGGATAATTATGTGCGAGAGGATTGCTGGACTCGCCGTCGTCGCCGCTTATGGCTTCCTCCACCATCAAGTTTATGCACCTGAAAACAAATAACTGATCCCATACCCAACATAGACTGGTAACCAGTCGAGAGGCCGTGGGTTCCCCAGGGGATTAAGTTGTCTTATCGACTTTACTCTCCCCGGTATAAATATGTAAATCCAATCCACTAAGGCACTAACCATAAGAAATGTAGAGTCTGACAGTGATAAATCATATTTTTCAACAAGCTGTCTTCTAATATCTACAGGCATAGGATGAGGAAGTCGTCTTCTGATGTCATCAATATTTATGTCACAACTGAAAAATATTTTTTATGTCAATTTTTTCAAACAAGTTTAATGACTCCACTATGAAAGACAGGGAGCAAAGAATTATATATAAATACTGAAATGTGTTATTCTTTCAAGTGTGGCCTGTGGCTATCTGAAACGAAACCCCTATTTGACTCAAAGAATAAATAGTTCAAAGTTCAAACCATTTACAAAAAAAAATAATCACAGCAATATTGTATCTGAAAACGCCTATAGCAACAGTCATCAATACACAGAAATTAACATTGGCATACCTGGAATCGAATGAAGGTGGCAATGTTTCATCACTATACAAAATGAGGGGCGGTAAATTTGGTTCAGGCATGAATCTATAATCTTGAAATTCTCCTTTGTCTCTCATGGAAATTGTTATTCTGATAAAAAGAAAAATTCGTTCTTACTAAGCTGTTCTAGCATCTAGTATGAGGCATTAAAATCCTGTAGTAATACTGTTTCAAAATATTGTCAATAGAGTTACAGGACAATTGACTTTATTGTATTTACAAGAGTTGCACTTGCATAAAAAATTATCAAAAGGCCCAAGACAATTTATACAAAATCTATAAAAATGGCAGAAAGACTGGCTAGCTATAAATAATATCTTAACACACCCTTTCTCCGCGTTGAAATCTCTTGTTTCGTTGACAACTCTCTGCCCACTTTCGAGTAATATTCTTTGTCTTGATATTTCAAATTCTGAAAAGATTTGTAAATAAACACAGTACACAAAAATAAAATGAAACTTTGCAGAAGTGCCATATGTTACCAAAAATTATTTTAATTTACCTTTCTGCATTCAAATGAAAATACTATTTAATTGAGACATACCAATTGCTTGTTGAAGTCCACGGATTCCTGCAATATTTTTAACTTCTGATCTAACACCAAGTGGTTCCCCTGGACGTCGAATTGAAATATTTGCATCCACACGTAGTTGGCCCTCTGAAAGTCAGCAAATGCATTGATAAAACAATATTTCTGCATAACAAAATTGATGCGATCTATTTTAAGAAACCACAGAGCATTTTCATGCCTTTTCTAAACAATAATTTTGTGAAGCATGTTTGTAATATTGCGCGATAGGCATAGTGACATTGTAACATACATGACATGAAATTTGAGTGCCATCAGTAATAAGATGCAGACTTTTTTTGAAGGCAAAAATATTTTAATATGCCAAACAAATAATTATCTGGATGTAAATGCGGGTAAAGCAAATAAAAATGAAGATAAAGATAGCAATCCATAAAAATGCAAATCTAGGGTCACAAACTCTAAAATGCACATTGCTTATGTTCATGTATTATACCAAATTAAATATACTTTCATTTACCGTCTACTTTCCCACAACAAGTGCCGAGTCGCATCATTGTCAATTGAAGATCAGTTACAAATGTAGCAGCTTCCTCGGAAGAGGAGAAATCTGGAGAAGTAACGATTTCCATCAACCCAACACCTGCTCTTAAAAATGTAAAGATGCAATAAAAATAGCTATCAATAAAAAGGTCAATTATACTGAATCAACTGTTGAGGTAATTTATATAACTTATATATATATAACTTTTTATATAAGCCCATTGGCTTAAAATGAGGCAGGCAATTAAGAATATCGAATCCAGACAATTTGCATCTGAAAAGATCTGGTAACAGGAGTTATGCCTATTGAGCTTCGGCAACGACACAACGTGCAATGATTTTCGTGTTTCGAGAGCTTGTTTTTGAATATCGACCAGCGTGTTCTCTGGCGGTATGATCTCTTCTTTTCATTTGTTTTTTAGTGTGTTTTATTTGGCGAGGCATGATGAATTCTATACCATATTCAATAACATACCAAAAGCTGCGATTCAAAGATAGATAAGTTCTAGATAAGACATTGATTAAGATGGATTAGGTCAGTGGTCGGCAAACTTTTTTAGGTGACGGACCGGTAAAGCCTAACCAAAATTTTGGCGGACCACCTTTATACAAACTAGCTAAGCTTATGTAGTAAATTATGCGCGTTAGAAAATTTATGTTGGAATTATCTCCAAAAACAGGTGTACCGGTGAGGTTATTAATGCGAGATCTGTATTTGTTCGTCCATTAACTGTTCCCAATTTGGAGATATGGTCGACAGTGATACACGTAACGTGTTTCTTACGCCCACCCGATTTCGGTATTTCGTTTTTGTAGTTGTAATTGTAAATATCGAAAACGCGACCCACATAAAATGATAACACTGTCTGTGAAGCTTCTCTTGCAATGTATGAGTATTTATCTAAGAGTATCAACCAAAAGACTACCAAGATACATATTGCAAATACGCTTTTCAACTTATTATCATTCAAAATTTTAATCGCGGGAATTCGTTGTTGTTAGATTGTAGAGGTGTTTTGGGGACGCTGTCCGTTTTTATGTACCGTAATCTTTCTGCGGACCAGTAGTAATCATTCCGCGGACCGGCGATGGGCCGCGGCCCGTGGTTGCCGACCATTGGATTAGGTTACCATGGTTCAATAAGCTAGTGAACATCAGGTTGACTATTCATATCCACATACCTGCTCTGTTCAAATCAATGAGGCTGCTATTCTCAACATCATCATGTAGACTCTTTCCACTGTCCTGTTCAAGTTGTATTTGTTCAATTCCAATATTTTTCCATCGTATTATGTAGCCTTTCTCTGGATGCCTTTCTTCAATTGGTATTGGAAAATGACCATCAACTGCAATGGGTTTTCTTTGCTGTGTTATTTGATAACCTTGCTGAACAAAACATGAATCAAACTTTAGAAGTGATAATTTATTGTCCAACATTTAAATGCTAATATTCCTGTCTGAGGCACAATTATAAGGCCATAGTACAGGAATGACAAACCACTGACCCACATGGGTCACAAGGAGACCCACCAAGTATTTCTGTGACGGGTTCAGACAGTTCATTTTTTACCTGCGTACAATTAAATTTGAGAATCTGAGATCAACAAATCGTTTAAATCAGTGGTTCTCAACTGCGGTTCTCAAGTATTCTCCAAAAATTATTCAATTTCCGTGATTTACTTGAAAATGAAAGACTGGAGTGAGGTTGTTGAATTGATGTCATTTTGAGTGAACTTTTGAACTTTTTGTTATGATGTCATAGTGTTTCAGTACACTGATTCCATTGTTTCCAGTAATCACAAGCAGGCTATTCCGTACATTGAAAAAGAAGTATTTTCAAATTGAAATGGGTTTTTACATCAAGTTTAGTTGATGTTGCCACGAGTTTTGTTGATGTTGTTATTTTAGAATACATACTTGAAATTAGTTTTAGAGATGTTTCAATTTGCGTTGTTTTTTACAACTTTAATAAGGTTTGAAATTTGGCTCTGACACTAAAAAGGTTGAGTACCTTGGATTTGAATGAATTTAGATTTTCGAAACGTAAATGATAGATTCCCAAAAAAGTTATAGTTGAAGAAAAACAAAATTTAGACTTGAATCAATGCGCACAAAAATCTGAAATAAAAATGGAGCCCAGTATGTATACTGAAATTAAAATGGCTAGCCAACAGTTCCAATAAGTCTCTTGCACCATATAAGGGGCCATTCCAAGCAAAAGTTGAATTCTATCAATTTTTTAAAAAGTGTAGTGAAAGTAATTTTTTTTTATTTTCGATACCAAAAGACATTGGAATTTTATTGGACTACATTCATTTAATCGAACAATTCAAAATTTCACCCAAGTTTTTGATGGTTTATAAAAAATGGTCTGAAATGTAGAAATTTTGGTATAATTGACATATTTTTTGTGATAATTCCTGACACAAAGTGTTTGATTGTGTGGTACAGTTATTTCATATGGAATTGACGCACTGGATTTAAGTTAATAAAGATGAATGTTTGCAGTGCTGTAGCTGTAGGACATTTCTTCACCCATTTAACGATTTATTACCAGAATTTTAAGAGATGATAGAGGCCGCTATTCCCAAGTGGGAAAATGTCCTGTAGTGTCACATACAATATGCACATTATTGGCATGGATTTACAGTGTTACATTAGGTAACTTGAGCAACACATAGGGGGGTAGTTCAGCTACTGAACCAGAAAATATTATGGGCTCGTACTGTACCATCGCAAAAATTTACAGCACAACACAACAACAATGCAACAACATGCAAAATGTGAAAATATATTGCATCCAACAACATGCAAAATTTCTGGAATTGTCCTGTAGTGTCACTTGGAATAGCCCATTATATTAATATATAGTTGAAAACAAGCAGAAAATATAAATTACTCAAAGAGCGGAATGTTTCCAATAGTTTAATATTCAATGTAGTTGTTACATAACAATATACACAGAGAATCAGGATGGATTAAGTGATCAAAACAGTTTGGAAAACGGGTGAGACTAAGATACAAGCAGTTTGCACATGTCATCTCGCAAAATACTCTCAAAATAAAGATAATACTCCAGATTCTTGCATCAAATTTAAAAGAGTTGTTAATAAAGACTGCTGTCAAAATTCAGCTACTGATTATGAAAATAGGCTACAATGCTTTGCTTCTAAACCCATAAGTATTCATTAAATATACCAACCGGTAAATCAGCATAAAAATAATGCTTTCGATCAAAATATGATTTCATGTTGATTTTACAATTCAAAGCAAGAGATGTAAAAACAGCAGCTTCTACGCAATTCTTGTTGAGAACCTGCAGACGATAAGAATTAACAAAAGAGTGTTATAAAATATTACGATGAGTTATTATTAAAAGCAATGAGTAAACTCAAATATCAGCATAGGCATATCATTGCAGTAAGCTTATCAATCACAAAATGCATATAGAATTAGTTATTGTTTTTATGAAAAGAAAATGCAATCAATAGCGTCAGTCAGTTATTTTCACCTTTTTTGATAAATAATAAAATTCCAACTCTTACTGGGAATGTACCAGGAAGTGCAGCATCAAAATCTGAAACAAGAAAATTTGGCGGCTCCATGAAACGATTCCTTGCACTTGAGAATAATTTAGATCTTGTGTTGATTTGTGCATGAATTTCAAGTCCAATTACTGATTCCCAAACATTGTGAAGTTGTGATGGCTTCTTTTTTATTTGGGTGACAAATGTCTTGTTAAGATGATGCCAAATAGGTTTTTGAAGCAATCTATATTTTCCACCAATGCCCATTTTGAGCTAAGGATTAGATATAAATATAGGCCCTGAAAAATAAAATATAATACCATTGCACACAGTAATAATATTGGATCATAAAGCAATAGATATAGCAGAACAAATAGACTATCAGCTGCGCCAAGTTCCAAGCAGTGTTCTAACCTTGTTTTTTGCAGCAAAGTGACATGCAATGAAAACATAATCCGATATCAGAGACACCAAAATAGATAGTAAGTTTGGGGTTTGAACCCCATGCGAGATAACATGTTCCAGAGGACTCTTTGCCACCAGAGTGTATCATGAACTGCTGTTAAATACAACTTTCTGCTCTATAAAACTTCCTCCATATCCCAAATTTTTGATACATTCCTCCTTCTCCTATTTTGAAATTCTTCACCTCTTGAAAATACTGGATGGTATCACAGAATGAATATGAGTAATGGAGTAGCATCAAAATAATTGTATATAGTAAATAAAACATATATCTATTTATAAATAATCATATTACATTTGCCAAGAACCAATCAAACCTAGTTTTGCTAGCTTCCATGGATAAGGAGAGCTCTTCAGGAAAAGGTTGTTCTTTAATTATAACCATGAAATAGAGATGAAAATACTTATTATTAAATTACAAGTCAGGCTTCTGGCTAAAATGACTTTTTATTGATGATTCATATAGTTCGTTTTGTTTTTCTTCTTTTACAGGGATAACCCCACTTTCTTGAAATGAAACATTCTGCATATTATTTTCAAGAGCCAAGGAAAATTCACCGGGGTACTGTGTCTTTAATTTTGCCCGAAGAGTTCTTATTCTTGTAAATATCGACTGCAAATCTTTACGCATTTCTTGCAATGTCGCAGTGTGACGAGTGAACTTTTCACTTGCCAATAGAAGTTGTTGTGAAGAAAGAGTATTGCAGTTTGTTAGCATTGCATTAGATTTTTCAAGTCTCCTCAAGGTTGTTTGTTGAGCTTTTATAATTGCATCAACATCCTCATTGTTTATAAGATTTTGCAGCTTTTGATCTAGTGTTGAAGAGTTCATGACAGCTTCTTTGTTATCCATATCGTAGGCTATAGCATAAACTATAATCTTAATTTATTCAATTCTGCAAATACAGAAATACCATCACAGAAAGACCATAATTACTATATAGTCTAATTCAAATGTCATATCTACTGATCTATCACCAGATCAGAGACTACTTTTATTTTCCCAGTCCTGTTATACAGTACTTTAATATTGTAAGTTGTGTTTAGGCCAAATTGTTCTACATTCTGACAGTCGTAGATCTATCCTTTGACCTGATATATCATTCTAGCACTCATACAGTCATAGTACAGTAGTATAATCGTATTTGTGATTCCTTAGAAATCTTCTCATTGTCTCTTGCACGTATATTTCTGTATTTATGTACAACTCATCTTGCCAGTGGACACGTGAGTGGACCTATGGATCGTTTTCATATTTTTGGTAATCTTGTTCTTGTTATTAGTCTTCTTCAGTTCTTCGTATCGCTGGCCATGGGCCACAATCAGCAAGATGAAAAAAGTGACGTAAAAATGGCCCCTTTTCGCTTCTGTTCAGACACTTTTCTCACTCGGACAAATTTTCAAGCGTGGTCGTAAACATTACCCCATTGTAGCGTTTTTGAACTCTATTCGTTAGTTTTCAGTTGTGTTTCGGAAACTTAAATATAAATCAGATAGTTCAATGATCACTCTGTCTTCCTAGGAGTTTTAATTCGGTCTTACTACTTACTGAATACAGCGCGAAACACCGCAAAACAGAGGGAAACAGCGCAAAACAGTGGGGAAACAGCGCAAAATAGAGGGAAACAGTGTGAAGCAGAAATAAAAAATTGCAAAAAATTTTGCAATGAGTTCGGGGCACCTTGTTTTGAGTTGGAGTACCACGGCAGCAAATTAAAAACACAAACCAACGTATGTAGCCAGTAATGCTGTAATGGCAGGTCTACACATTTTGGGTACCATAATTTAGAACATTTTCCATATGTATATGGTTGGCTTTAGGGTTAGGGTTAGGTAAAAAGAACCTCCAGAAGTATGTGCGCCAAAATGGCGCACAACCTGAAATAGATGTGTGTGTGTGTAGCGGATTCAGGTTGTGCGACATATTGCTGCACATACTTCTGGAGCACCAAAAAGTTAGATAAAATTTCGCATGATGACCTATAATCCGGTACATAACCTTGTAAATATACCGGAAATAGCGCCATAAAACCATGGCGAGAGGCGCCGTGGTTCTTTCGTGGCAGGAGGTGGTAATGACTGCGTCTCCTGTTTAGCACTGATTCCCTCTGTTTTGCGCTGGTTTCCTTCTGTTTCGCGCTGTTTTCCTCTGCTTTGCGCTGTTTCGCGCTCTTTGCAGTGTTTCGCGCTGTATTCAGTAAGTAGTAAGACCCGTTTTAATTTAATTGCAGTAATAAAAAATTAGTATAGAAATTATACTGAGCGTTATACTGTACCCTAGTAGCCTACAGTGCATGAATTACTCTATACACATCGTACTTTATTGTAAAGTATGGTACTGTACACTAATAAAATGTACAAATAATGCAAATAAGAACTTTATCAGAAAAACAGAAAACAATTCCACATCACGTGAATAAAAGCAAACCTTGATGCACTAACATCAGTAACATCTTTTTTTGCTTTGAGTCCATAACAAAGGGCAAAAGTAAAAAAAAAACGATCAAACAAGTTACTAAAAAACCGGCTTAAACAATTAAAATGACGTACAGTATCACTGAAACTGTGTACAGTACAGTACCATGTGACTGAAGCTTAGTGATTATTCTTTCATAATCGTAATAGTTGGACACGTCATTTACGATGTAAATAACGAAAACCAATGAGCCCAGAGCACTGATTTTCTTGATCACAATGATCCTGTTTATAGGCTTAGATATTACAATACAGTATTATTTTTTATATCTGTATATGTTCGTAAAGTGCGTTCGTAACCTAGAAACAGATTGTTGTATGCGATGAATCCTCATTTTACGAATAACCCATTTCACAGGCGCCAAGCCGCCAACTCGCAGAAGCACTCTTGAAATAGCCCCGAAAATTTTGTAATGGTAAAGAATGGAAGAACTTTTCGGGGGTCAAAGATCGGGGAAAGGTCCATTACTTTTGTTTATCGTTTTTATGTGCTATGACGCCTTCAGAATTTGTCACTATATGGCACTATACGTGTCCATATATTTGAGCATAGCTCTCTTGTATTCTTATTTTATGATAATGAAAATACTGAAACATTAGACTGTCGAACTTCATCTTTTCATTGTAGATTCACTGTAACAATAATTCTTACCATTATATTTGTTTACATTTTTTTGTTATTTACTACTATGCTTGTCTCGTATTGCGACGTAAATTTTGGGGGGCGTAGTCAGTTCGGTATGTTAGTCGTTAGTTGGGGGTTAAGATTAACATTTGCCAAGAAGTAGAAGTAAGCGATAGGCTATTGTTGCACATTAAATAAAGTAATATATGGTTATACATATGGTTTTACCAATGAACACTAGATTAGACACAAAAAAAAGCCGAAACACCAAACGGAAATCTGACGCCAAACATCGTTATTATTGGACACGCCAGTGGACTTATAGATCGTTTTAATATTATGTTGTTGTTTTTGTTGATATTCTTCTTCCTCGTTGTGATGAAATCGCTTTTCTCTTGGAATACTGGACCAATTGCTTCGAAATTTTCAGTGTATAAAGATTGTTTTTTTTTTGCCAGAAGGCTATTACTTTTATTTAGTCCTAAATTTTTATGAATCCTATGAGATCTAATATTTCATCCATTTTGCTGTATCACTTTTTGATCATGGGAACACGGATTTTAATCCACCAAACGTGACGACCGATTCCAAAAATTCTCGCTACTCGAATCTCGAAAGTTTTTGAGGTTACCGGTACCAACGACTAACATACCGACAATGCTAAAAGTAAGGTAAACCACTGCAGTACTGCTTCGCTTGGTGTCAATATAGTTGAAGACTGTTGTATCTGCTGTGACCTGTCCATCTATTTGAGCATAGCTCAAAGCTAGTTTTTTTTTAGTTGACGAAAAAATAAAATCTCTCTCTCTCTTTTAAGAGATTCAAAAATTGTTCAATTAATATAAATTGTATTTTGTTAAGTTGAAAGGGTAAAGTCTTTTGAATTAAAAAAAATAAAATATTCGACATTATTTAATTTTTAACCTCGTAAACGGAAATTATTTGCGACGAGATTTAATAATCCGATTACATAAATGAATAAAAATGTCGATTTTTTGATCCGGTAAAATTCTTGAGCAAATCTTTAAAAATTGAAAATTTTTAAAGAAAAAATTTGAAAATGAATAACGGCTCGAAGTTGAATGTGGAGGCCCCTATACTTCCTCCTGCCTTGCCTTATGGTAAACCCGGCATTAATAACAAGTATGGCGCGGCGGTGTGGCTCATCGTGCTAAGCGTTAGGAATACGCTCACCACCGGCACCGCACTTCTGACTACTCTGCGTGGGTTCGCAGGTTCGAAGCTCGTTGGTCGGTTACAGATTTCTCCACTATCAAGTCCATCTACAATCATACAATAGAATTGATAAAATACTGGCCCTATTAAAAAGGCCATTTTGTTTTATGTTCCCTTGTACAGCGACTAGGGATGCAACTTTCTCTTTGTCATATTATCTCTGCCAGATAAATTTCTCTGATGACAATATTCAGTTTTTGAACACAAAATGGAACTATGGGTCGTTTTGTTGTTTGTATTCCCCTTTTTCTTGAAGCGGTCTAACTGCTCAATCAATTGCTTTGAAATGTTCAGTGGTTAAACCTTGTTGTTTTCGATAAAAGGCAATTACTTTTATTTATTTCCAAAATATCCGTGGAATCTATGGGACTCATTTTTCACTTCAAAGTTTTTTGTGATCAAAGTTGAAAATAGGGTGTCGTGGTTCCGTGATCATATCTCAGTTATCTCGGGGCCAGACTACCGGTACTGTAAAAGATTTAAAACCACTTCGTTTTCATCTTCGTGTGCATATATTTGAGCATTGCTCTCTTGTTATTTTTGTTAATGTGGAGAGATGGGTTTCGGCATGTTTTACACCGCACATTTGAATATTACTAAACCCCAACATGGCTTCCACATTCGAACCGACGATCCTTTGACTGATCTAATTACTACTAAATTAAAAAGAAAGTATCAAATATCACTGAACAAAAGTGTTTGAATTTGCCTCCAAATTGTTTCGATTTGAAGGTGTTAAGATACTGCCCCAGGAAAACCTTGATTGCCCACATATCGGCAAGTGCTCACAGTATAGCGTCATTCTTGATAACTTGTGTGTCAATTATATTCGGTATCACTCATAAACACATTTTCATCACAACGTCCCAAATTCAATGTCCATTTTTAACGCTCTTGGTACCGGAATTCAACAAATATACTAACGTAAATTCATTTAGCAGTTTAGGCTGTGGAATGGTCATGAGTGACTCTGACTTTGAGCATCGCAACCAACGGCGTGTCTGTTTGCTGCAACAGAATTTAGATTGGTAACATAATCGTGAAGAGCCTGTGGATTTTGCAATACATGTTCTATTTTCTGGTAAGTGTAGATTAAAACGCATTTTATGATATTATTAGTTTGGTCAGAGTCGAGTGTAGTTTAATATTATTTATCTGCAAATTCAGATCCGCCTCTCATGTATATTGCATATATATTGGGTGCTCCCGAAGCATGTGTATCAAGATGGCGCACAGTCTGAACATAGCATGTGTACCAGGTTAGGCTTCAGGTTGTGCGTCATCTTGGTACGGATACTTCCGGAGCGCCATTTATTGAATTCAGAAAACTTTGTTCATATAAATTTGCAAGCATCGGTCCTACCGATTTTTTTATTTGATTAATTAACCGCTACTTCTCATCTATACAAAGTAGGGTTTATAACTAGTCAAAGCATTTGTTTTTAACTCTACACTATAAACTATGAACCGAAATTTTGTAGATTCTGCTTATGAACTAAAGAAAGGTTACGGTATTTTTATTACAAAGTTATTGTGCTGCTCCGTGATATCTATTTTTGATTAAAAATTGGCCAACCATAAATTTCTCTCAATTAAGTATAATCATTTCAGAATTTATCCTGTTTGGCATGTTATATAATTGAGATTATTCATATCGTTTTGCAATGTGACAAACTGTTACCCAAATTTTTGAAATTGAAAGTATAAATGTTGCTGACCTTTTTAGGCTGGATTTCTGTATGGATATTCATGATTGTATTTTTGAACTGGGTTGTTTTTGGCTCTAGATAGATGAACCCTAATGAGCACTACCTGGCTGTCTTTACTAGACACAGTAGTTTCGTAAATATTTTTGTTTTCCACCATAATCAACTCAGAAATAAAGGATTAGAAAATACCATTAATGCTTCTGTAATTTTGTTTTTCAACTTAACATCTACATCAGCTTTTTCAAGTCTAAAATCTCATTAAGATATATTATGTCTGTAGAAAAACAACTCATAAAAGGAACCTGTTGTATGAAATTATTTGTTTTTGTGTCAATTCACTGTATCCCTATTAAAAGGATGTTTCAAGCACAAAAAGGCTGGAAGTTATGACCCGTGAAAAATTGGCCATTAAGTTCAATAAATGTACTTTCTTTTTCGGTATTACCTCAAATTGGTCCTTTGATGTTTTATAATAATATACATTGTACTCAGCACATATGGGATATGAATATCTTTAAATTTAGAAGTTTTTTATTATAAATTTTTCAACCAACAGTAATCCGAAATAAGAAGAAATGCTTTGCAATATATTTTGATGAGCAGTTTAATGAAAAAAAAAGTTCTTACTTCAGTGTACGAGGTATAAATACTGTCTTGAATTGTTTAATTTTATAACATTTCGATCGTACCAAAGTTTTGTTGATGATATAATCAGGAGTGCAGTTGTAATCGGAAAATTTATGTGGTGATATCAGGCTTTCAGTAATGTAATTTGTGTAAACTATACACATTATGAAGCAGCAAAAGATTAGCAAGAGAAGATATTGTAAAAATGAGTAATAGATATTTAGTTCCAATTACAAAATATCATTATAAGTTTATATGCGATATTAACTATATTTCTATTTGTCTTAATTGTCAGGTTTTTGTAATTTTGGGGCAAACAAGTAAACATTCGAATCTGCGTTTTTATTTTATCAAATAATTTTAGTTTTTATCATATAGTAGATTTTGATTACAGAAAATAGAATGAAGATAAAAGCGAATTCTTCTATAACTTTCATTATCGTAATAATAATGAACGTTTCGGCTTTTGTTAAAGCAGGTGTGTAGCTGTATTCATATTATATTGAGCTTCAATTTTTTTTTATTTATATTCGATGAAATTTCCATACGGCAAGTATAACAAACAATTAACACGTTCGGTTCACACATTCCTGCTTGATTACATTCTAATCCGACATTAAATTACTATTGATATATGTTTCTTACGCCTCAAGCATCTGTATTTTATTATTTTAGCAATTATGCTTGAATTCATAACGTATCTAGCAACGTTCATTATTCCGAGCACAGGCAACATTATTTTCAAGTAATTAGAACAGTTTTTACTTGAATTTTCGATGCATTTTACTTTCGACTTGATAATATATCGCAATCATCTATTTTTATTATGAACTCATTTCTTAAACCGAAGTTTGAAGTGAAAAAAATAACATATTGAATGCACTTTTATCTATATTCTGTGAAACGTATTAAATTTCGACTAATAGTATGGATGTATACGATTAATCATATATGTATCTACATTTAAACATCCTAAAACTATTAGCAATGGGGTATAAAAATACACAATTGAAATACAAACGAAGCTACATTTCAATATGACATCTCTTTAAATAATTTCATCTAATTTGAGTTGCTTCAATATTGTTCTCAAATACATTTTTATTTTATTTCTTCAGAGTGCATTGGAGGAGAATTTTCTTGCCCTGACAAATCTGGGTGCATTTCATTCAATCAATTTTGTGACGGTCAGGTGGATTGCGTGTAAGTTTTCTTAAATTACTATTTTTTCAACGTTACCACGTAATGGCCCTCAAATTGAAGAAATTCTCGCTGAGTAAAATACGATTTCTACGTGGAGATGCGGGCTGGTCAAAAATACAAAAAATAACTCTAAAAGATATTTCATGTGATTGACAGATGGTGAAGTACATACGCTGCATAAAAATACGTGTTTTTCGTGATTCACTTTGCGATTTTACCTAAATATTGTAAGATTGTATTGTATTGCTGTTTTTATTTAATTATGCTTGTCATGGTTGTAAAACTTGCAAATATACATTGATAACATCTCCCACACTTGACCAGCACACAAAATAATAAAAAACGGACAAACAAAACGGAAATATTTGATAATATATGTTTATGCAGTTATTTCTTAGAAATCGCCTTTAAATAATAAATGCTTTAGAAGTTTTGCAGAATACTACTGTTGACCGTGTTCCCCTGCATTAAGACGGCATAATAATAACAAAACGGTTTCTTAGCTTGAAAGTTTTGAATAAATATATCAATGCCACAGTTGTTGTTTTCGACCAGCATTCTATTAACTGCTTGGCAAAATAAACTTCAAATTCAACACGAATCCAGCATCAACATTATTATCTAATATATATATATCACGATATATATACTCAAAGGCTTAAAATGTTTCAAATATGGAGGTGTAAACAAATATTACCTTTTCTCTGACTCTGTGTTATTTTCCTGAAGTGGGAACTTGAACAAAAAAAAATTATACAAAAGTTAAAAAATGTGCTGCCGAACGTTAAATACCAAAATAAATCTTGTATATACTTCAGCTTTTATTCTATTTACAGAATAAAGTAATTCTTTTTTTCTAATGGTGCCTTCATCATAATATTTTGCCATATGTTATTTCAAGTTTGTACATTGGTGTTTGATAAAAAAAAAGAACTTTATTCCTTTTTGTTCCTATATTGCATTCGAAATGACATGGCGATACTTTTGTCTTAAAAATCAATGACTCATATATTGTGTATGTTTTCAAAGGTAAATAATTCCAACGTTTTAGGTGAATACTATGGCCACAAACTCAGCCATGGTGTGATTTAAATCGGGCAAACAATGCCGAATCAAAAAGATTTGATAAGTTGGTCCAAAATAGTAGTCTAAGTAGCTTTAATATCTAAGGTCTTATCTATAATACATGACAGGTTCTGCTTACACCCAGCCTTGTTCGGTGTTTAAATGTAACTAAGCCTTACTACAACGAAATATTTAAAATTTCATCAACTTGAATATAAATATTTCATATTTATATATTTCAAGCCCAGTATATGTTCCCTCCATTGCTGTTTTTATACACACGAAACATTTACCCTAATTCCATCCTCTGTTAACTTTCGTTTATGAGCAATCATCATTTTGCATTAATCGATCAACTTTTCAGAAATAGGTTTTGTGAACAATATTTATCGTATTTTGAAGTGTTGTTACAGACGGATAATGAATGTTCTTCCTGGAAAAATCTTTTATGACGACACGTTCAAATAATCAGGTGATGAATGATTTGTTTTTAGAGATGGAAGTGATGAGATACGGCGCCTCAGCAAGTATAATCAAACTGGAATTCCTTGTCGCCAAAACAATCATATATGTATGCTACCCAAAATTCTAAAGAACATGCAATCTGCACTATGCCAGAAAAGTAAATATTGAGATTGTTAATTTCAGGCAACTTTTTTTAGTAACTCATTTATTTCATTTTGTTATTGAAGACGTAAACTGCAATAACGACGAATTTTCATGCATTGACGGATCTGCCTGTGTACCAGCTGAAAAGTTTTGTCCCCGGGTATCATATGAAATTAATTGCATGTAAGTTTAAAATTTATAACTTGTTGTTTCATTACTGTGACAAATTTGAATAGGATATATTCGCATTTTGCTGGGGGCCAGACCACTGTGTAAGTTGTGAAAGAAAAAAAGTGTATCACTCCATATACAATCGCGCCCTACTATGAACAGCCTATTGCCGTGGTTCCCAAGCTTTTTGTCCGTGCGGCACCGTTAGAAAAACTCATGGCGCACTACACGAAAAAAATTGATGCTTTCAAACAAAACTCAATTTTGCGATCGTTAATGTGTACCCTATTCCTAAACAATAAAAAAAACATAAAAAATAAAAGCAAAACGCGAACTCTTTTTCCTCATTTCCGCCTGATTTTCTTTCGAAATTCCTAAATAACCCCACATATTCGCGATACGTTGTGTCCACATCTATTGTTACGTAATAATAGAGGCAGATACTACGTACGAGAAAGTAGACGACATCGATAAGTGAAATGAATTTATTGATTCATATTATACACATTTGATTTATGCATTTGAAATATAAAAAGAAAACATTTATAATAAATGCAATATGTAAAATATTGAATCAACGTTTAGTTATTGTTACCACAATTCTGTTAATTTTGGCGCACTTGGCAAATCGTGCGCCGCGGCGCACCCTTTGGAACCCCTGGCCTATTGTATTTGAAAGATGCGGCATGATATAAAAGGTTTGATTAAATGAGTGACATCCCCTTAAATTTGATCGACTGGCAAATTTAATAATACTCTTTAAATAAAACAACTTTAAACACATTTTGTTGTATTTACTGCACATTTTAGAGACAACAGCGAAAAACAATACCTCACCTTGACAAATGTACCACCAAGACCTGGACCAACTTCTATTTTATGTCGTTCCGTGCAAAAAGCTGTCTGTTATCTTCCGGAAAACCAAATCCACAAAGCATCGCAACTTTGTGAACAAGGTGTCAGGATGAAAACCAAACCATTTTCAGAAACTGTTATCGTATATATAATATGAAATTTACAGCGAAAAATATTAAATAAAACTTTAAATTTTTACCTATTTATTTCCTTCACTCTTCCGCAGGCATGCGAATATGACTTCAAGTAATTTTCGAATGACTAGTGTAACTTAGTATTTATGAATAATATTTAAATATACCTAAAATTTTGGTCTATTCTAAGTTTTCACAAGACTCTTCTTCGCCCGTCGACTCGATTACGTAAAGATTTAAATAATAAACAAGAGTCAAGCACCAATATATGGAAACTTTATTTGCTGTATTTTGGACATTTTCTACAATACACCCTGTGGGGTGAAATAATAAACAAAACAAAAGTTTGCAAAATGTAACATGCATCTTATTTTTACGAAGATTGATGGAAATATGTTTTTAGACCCTCTTTGTCGAAATGATGAAGTGCCTTGTTGGCTTCCCTTTTTTCATTGTAAAGATGAGGATTTCTGCGAAAAATCGGACGTGTGCATGTAAGTTGCTGATCGTACTCAATCAACAATCATAAATGCCATTTCTGTCACTTTCCGAATATGCCTTCCGAATAATGCCTCTCAGCAGATGTATTACAGATTTTCGTTCATATAAAATTTACTTGTCAGCATTACTTCAATTGGGCAATTTGTTTTTTATTGCAATGCTGCTGTAGAAATTTTGTATATGGCATTCAAATGTTATTATTACTGCAAGGTACCTTTATAAGCCATTACCATCTGACCAACAATATCCGCTACGAAAGAAACAGGAAGGTGACATACTTTGCGACGGGTTGGATATGAGACTACAAAATCGGAGATGTCCACTACCTGCAGAATTCGTTTGCGACAGTCGTTTTCAATGCTCAGGAGGTGATACAAATCTATCTAGATGGGACATTTTATGTGATAAATAGTATTGTTGAACTAAATTTACAGATTGGGGTAAAAACATCTGAACAATTATTCATTGCAAAAAGTTCACTGCGAAATAAACTTACGAATACCACCAAATATCAACATATATCATTGATTACTAACATAGAATAAAATACTAATAAGTTTCTGGAGCTACTAAATTTAATCTACTTATTTTGTTGATAAATTTTAGGAGTCGACGAGTGTTTTTGTGATGGAAATGAAGTAACAACAGAAAGTAATCATTTGATTTGATTGTTAGAAACCTAATTATTTTTTTTTAATATATGATCAAAGTAAGTTAATATGTAGTAGAATTTGTAACCATGAGCCAGTAAGACAACAGTTTAAAGTAGTGTTTTTGTTGCCATCTTATGACAAAAATTATCTCAGGAAATAAACATTAAATCAGAACAGTTTGAATAGGAATTTACATTCAAGTTATTTTTATCTTTTTTTTTTTGATTTATTCCATCTTTGCTAAATAATATTTTATTTTGCTTATGATATGTTTACAGCGTTCATCGACAAAAGATGTTTTCGATGTTTAAATTCAAAGGGCGTAATACCAAAAAGTAAACTATGCGATGGAATAGTAGACTGCGATGATTTATCTGATGAATGTTTATGTAAAAGAAGAGGGATTTTAGACATTTGTAAAAGTATTCGTTGGGGTAAGATAATACTTCGTGAATGAGAAAAATTATTTCAAATTTCACAGCAATCGAATTCCTGACTTGTCAAGGAAAACGCCGCGTTTGATTTAGATTCACTTTTCATTGATATTTTTTCACAATACATGAAACATGATTTTTAGTTGCAACACCATGGTATATAGTTTGCAATGATATATATATTTTTTTTGAAGAGTTTACATATAATTGTGGTTTTATTTAGGAGAGGGTGCTAACCCAAGCCAATCTATATCATGTAATTCAACAGAAGATCATGGTAATATCACAGTTTGTAACGGAATGTAAGTGTTTTTGCATTACTTTTGTTTTGGTTTAGTTCTTAAAGTTATGTTTGTTATTGTAATTTAACAAATTTTCAGATCTGACTGCCAAGGATCAATTGATGAAAATTATTGCAATGTGGGCTGTTCGGGTAAATTAATTACATCGAAAAGTATTTGGTCAGCTAAAGGACCGTTAAACAATATATTGAAGCTATATTGATTTTCCAATAGCTGTAAATAGGCAACATGGCCTTTTTGTTGGAATGTCATTTCCATTAACTCAAGTCCCACGTATTATATGCTGCTATGCAAAATCGCAAGGAATTCGGTCAATTCACAAATAGTCAATCCATACGTATCGGCGACTGCTTTTTCAAAAAAGTGTCTTGTTTGGAATAAAGGCGCGAAAAAGTGATATAAAAACGTAATGCGTATGACAATTTGCTTCTATGAACATAATTTTGTCCTACCTACTGAATATTTTTTCAAATATTTTACTGGTTTATTTTTAATCTGAAGTGAACACTTTTTATCCTATATTTCACGTTCGCCTTCAAACCATGCGTGACCTTTGAGTCAATATTATTATTGTATTGCTTTCTTGTTCCATACACACTACAAGACATCATATTCGTACTCTCCGATTTAACAAACAATGTGTATACTACGTTCCCCCATTGCATATGTTCTTACTTTTTTCTTTCATTAGTTTTATTTGTTTCAAAATTCTGATATTTTTCCCCAAAATTTTGGGAACACCGTTTTTATTTCGACAAGCTTAAGCTTAACAACGTTAAGTCTGTCCTCAGTTTCGATTTTGCAAACTCGGTGACCAGACACATTTCTGTATAGGCCGCGTATCTCACAGGGTACCGCAACTGTGGTTAGTAAGGCGGACCATCGTGTCCATATATTTGAGATTTGCTTTCTTGTTTTATATATTTTGTTTTCCTCGCGTAGTATCTCGCGTATAATCTATTTTATGCTTTTTACAGAGGGGCCTACTAAGTATAAATCGGGTGAAGGAAAATGTGAACACCGTTGTTTCGTTGATAATCGAAGTATGCTTAATTCAATATACAATAAAACTTACTGCTTTCAAATAATTCTGTGGAAGAGTATCTGTTTGATATGCATGCGTTTTCTAAAAGGGAAAATCAGTTTGCTTTTATTCTAATGTATCGATCTTGTAATGTGGTATAATAATATATTATCTATGTCATATATTAATTGAAAAACTATATATATGCAGAGTTTAAGATATTGGTTCGTAGACTTTCGAAAACCCGCAGACCATACAAAGATCGCGCTCTCGTCCTTTCGTGCAACATTGAAAACCAATCTCTTGGCAAGAATTTATTTCGAATATAACATTGATAAAATTGATACAATTGTGTTTTTCAGCTAGCATCATTAGTTCCAGACTTTGCAAACGATAACACACCCCTCATATTGACAAGCGTAGAAGCCTGAGTGTTGACGATAAATAACTAATTACCCCATTTCCGTATTAATAATACTTGCATGGGTGACCGGCTGGGAGTACCTGATATCGTCTTCTTTTTTTCTTTCTACCATTCAATAATTTCAATCCAATGAAGTATTTTTGATTAGGAATCACAAACTTTCAGAATATTGTCCGAATATAATCAGACTAGGTGAAACCTCAATGAATTTTAAAAAAACACTTTTTGAAATCATTTTCATTTCGCGGTGAGGGGCTGACTGAAAAACAAAAATACTGTGAACGAACCCTGGTACAGGAAACTGCTTTATATGCACCTCAACGTTTCAAAACTAATTGTTTGAGCATATTAAAAATAATTTATTTTTTAAGAAAAATATTCAACACGTTGCGATGGAATCAATGAGTGCGAAAATTTCTTTGACGAAGAATGCATCAATTGTCCTCCACAGCAGTTCTGCAATTATTTCGACTTCTCGTAAATTTATATATTTAGTTTTAATTTTTCAATTTTATATGAGAACAAATCTCACAAAGGCCAAGTTAATTAGTATGTATAACAAGACGACAGCAAAAAGGAACTAATTCCTGTGCACTTCTTCATGTTATATCATAAAGCACAATACACTGATAAAAAATCAGAACCTCTAGCGCAAATACCTAATAACCTACGTCTTTTAAGTAATACGTAATAATACCATAATGTTCTCTATACAGACTATACTCATATAAGTGCCCATCAAGTAGAACAAAATTACCTGGAATAAAAATATGTGATGGAAAACCAGACTGTGAAAACGGAGAAGAAGAAATTGGTTGTCGACTAAGGTACGTTAAATATATTTTAGATATGTTTTGACATTTAGAACTCAAAGCAAACTATGTCTCCTAAATTTATGTATTTGTACCCACGTATCACTACTCAAAAGAATGACAAGATAAAATTACTTTCTTGATCGTGCAAATAACTATTTTACCTGAATTAATATCACAAATAAATTTTGTTGAATATACGCTTAAATTTTTTTTCCATATATGAAAGCTACCATTGGTTAAAGTATAGTTGAACAAAAAAATGCGCATGATTGCATAAAATTGTAAACACATAAATAGAGTTTGAAAATTGTACTAGCATGTAATGGTCAAATTTATCACTGATGATGACATGGGGTGGAATTTTCTCTCAACTTTCCTGTTGTAAACACTATATCTTATTTATATTTGAAACTATTTTATGAAATCCAATGCAGATTCTATTGTAACGGAAGCTCGCCGATAAATATAGAGAAGAATAAAGTCTGCAATTTACTTAGAGTAAGTTAAATTTGTAATACGTTCATACCAACGTTTATTTTATGAGATCTCAAGCAATATTGTTCATGAAATGTTAACGCTCGTTATTTTTATTCAAATAATCATTTAGCTTTATATATGAAATTTTATGCGTGAGTCTTTATAGACTATTCTTCTGGATTAATTATTCAGGATTGCGAAGATTCTAGCGATGAAATGGACTGCGACAATAAAACCCATTTCTATTGTAATGATGAAGGCACGACAAAATTTATTCCCACAGCTGCAGTAAGTTTTTGGATTTATATATGTATGCGAGAGGTAATACTAAAATTCATCGTCACTCTGAATATCGTCACGCTAATATTGCGTAAGTCATTTTTGGCGATTTTGAGTTTTTTATAAAATAGGTATTTATGTAATGCTGCGCACCTGTCTGTTAACTCAGCTTTTGTGCGATTGTTTCGTCATAAAGAATTATCAATGTTACCGCAGGACTATTGTGACGTGACAAAGGCAAAATAACCTCGGCGAAGTATTTTCGAGTTTTTGCATCTCGGATTCTAGCTTAGCGCGTATTAATTTGAATTTATACTACAGTATAGGAAGCCGTGCACTTGTGATATTCACTGTCCGAGTCCAATTCACCTTGTTGGCTTTTATATTGGGTGCATTGTTGTTTTATTCTTTATATTTAATCTTGGTCTTATTTCGGTGGGTATGCAGAACGTGTTATATTGATGAAATATATAATTTTAAACATAAAAAATAATGTAATTGGAACTGATTAGCTATTTTGGGAATTAGACATTGTGGATCCTGAGAATTACAATCGTTTTCGAAATGTTTAGTTTTCAGGACTGGTGCATATAGTAAAGTTGCAAAATTGCGTATGTCCCCAAGTCATAGACACATTTCTGCCTAAGTCACAGTGCGCCATTATGTCGTCACTTAACTGCGTCATACAAATTAACTTAAATCCGGCTACGATCAAAAAATTGAACCATGGCAAATTATTGACTTTCAATTGCATAACAATATCATTAGGAAGTTTTATACGTTTTTCTCAAAACTGCTAAAAATGACTTACGCAATTCGGTTATTAGCGTGACGGTATATTTTATGATAAATTACTTATTGAACTTCCAGAGATGAGTAAGAAACAAAGCTAGACTTAGTAAATAGTGAGTGATTGATGAAATTAGGGGTTAAAATAGTTATATAATACATCAAGAATAATAAAGAGATGAGTGTTCGATAATAACCTAATTTACGATAATCTATTAGGCAACGCTGCGTTCTTAACCATTATTACAGCAACTACAAATTGATTCCACAGCTCTGTGATGGAAGTCAAAACTGCCAAAGCGGGAAGGATGAATGTCTTGATGAATGCATTCAAAGTTCATTTTCTGACGTGCATTCCTTAATCAAAAACAACATTTTCTTCGTGATTATTTGCATAACCAGTTAGTATTCGAAGTTACTCTTATTTGACAGTATACACAAAAAAATTGTATCTTTGATTGAAAGTATCTATGACTTCTGCTCTAGAAATCTCTTTGTCTACCACAGTTTGAACATATGAGCCGTTGATTGGGAGCGTTCATAGAAATAATTGCTTCAATATTCTTCCAATCTTCTTTATTGATGAATCTAGTTTTTTATTTTATTTCATAACAATATTGATCTAAAAATCAAATTCAATGGGATATATTTCAGATTCCTAATAACCAATAAGCATACAACCATTTGATGAAATACTAGTACCATTATTCATTGGACACCATTTGAACTTCTTTTTTTAGGCATCGGCACCTTAGTGGGAAACCTGATTGTGATTATAACTGCAGCAAAAGATTTCAAGAAAAAACATCTATTCAAAAATGTTCTCATCAACAAACTTCTCATTTGCAATCTGTCCATCTCCGATTTGATAGTTGGGGTGTGTTTTAATTTTTTAATTGGCGAATATCTATTAATGAATATATTTATTATTATAAGTTATTGTAAATCAGATATACACATCCGCCATCTGCATAAAAGGTTTAGCAATGCGTGGAAACTATTGCAAGGAGGATTCAGAGTGGCGAAGTGGAAATACCTGTTCAATTCTCGGATTTCTCCTTTTGGCTGGATCAGAGTCGTCCGTATTTTCTTTAACAATTCTTACCGGATTTAGAGCTTACTCTATTATGCGGTACGAGTTATACTGAATTGATGTTTTTATTTTGACCAGTTACGTTGCTTTATTAGTCGATTTATGTTCCGTCGTTCAATAGTGTTTTTGACAAGTATGCTATTGATTGCCCGGTGGGGTCTTGGCCGACGAACAATCACACTTTTCATTTTTGATGTTCCAATCTTGCAGGAAAGCGTTTTTTTTTTTAATTCTCGCAAGTGTGTACTATTTCGAATCGCAACCGCGGGAAAAGTGAACAATATTACCTGATTTTAATCCCAGTTTCCTCTACACTGTACATCAAGTATATGTCAAGTATTTTCCGAAAGAAAATATTATTAATTCTTTCAAAATTTATTCTAGCACTAAACACTGATTGAAATTCACATTTGAATCTTCACATTATCAAAAACGTGCCGAGATAAGCACAGAAAGAAACAAGTTGGTCACGCCCTATGCTTCGGTAAAGCGTAAAAAATGGCCAGTTGTGGAAGCGTGCAACTTAGGACCTAAATTGAAATTTGAGTCCAAAAACTATAGTTTATAGCAATATTCTGTTGTTTCCATCACTTCGTAATTTGATGTAACAATCGTACTTGACGCTGAACACTGAATATATTTTCTATGTCCTTCACATGCCACAGCATCTAAAAAATCGCATGGTGGATTTTTAAACTCTTGTGCATAATTGGCACATTCGTCGAATCGTCAGCTTCGAACGCGTTCAATTATTTTAATATTTTATTCTACTCTAGAATCTAAATGATACATACTCGGTGATAAAGCAATATTGTCAATAATATAAGTTGATGCGTAACTCAGCAAAACCGAGGTGACAAAATCAACTTACATCTGTTGTATATTTTAGTCCATTCGCAGAAGTTAGACTGAGTTTCATTCGACGCATGATCGCTTTGTCATGGATACTTGCTGTTGGCCTAGCCGCAGTTCCTCTTCTGCCTGCTACTGACGACTATTTTGTGGATAGTGTATGGTGAGTATTAGATTAGTCGGTGTGTCTTTTTACTGTCGGGTGTGTACTGGGTTTTAGCACTAACTTTGGGCAAATTCCTCGTACACTCATTTTTTCACAAATTAATCGATTTTTGCATTCTTTTTTTATAATTATTTCACTCAAAATATATGGGAAATATCTCATAGTGCATTATTTTCCATAACTCTTTGGAAATTATAAAATAAATATAAGCACAACACGGTCAGTCCTTAAATAATCTAAATAGAAATATTTTCACTTACGCAACGCAAATATCCGTCTAACTTATAGCTATACCAAGATATTGTATTTCAATAATGTATTTTTTGCGCCTCTTCACTTTTACATGTAAATAGATTAAATTCGAAAGAATTGATTTTCCACAACTCGACGTAACGGTTTTATCATTTCAGGATTGAAGACAACCCTCTCTTTGCAACTATCAACAAGAATGAGCTGGAGGAAATAAATAAATGGCTTTCATTGACTCAAAATAGAACTGATGATTTGTGAGTTTTACCTTTCTCATTACAAGATACAGCAGGAACTACTTGTTATAAATGGTCGATTTAATATCCGAATATATCACGAGCTCAATCTCCCAAAATCCGACTGAACGTTTGTTCCCACTTTGTGTAAAGTTTCAATAGTCAACGAATTGAATATTATGAGCTGTGATCTAAAAATACCCTCTAAGAAACCGCACCATAAGTAAAAAAATAACAGATACACCCACGTAGAAATAAATTAATCGGGATGCATGACTAGAGATTGTGGACATTTTTAGATATACAGTATAAGGCAGGGGAGGGAAAATTACAGCCAGTGAGCGGGATCTGGCCCACTTGTGCCTGCTGAAATTACGGCTATAGTTTTTATGAATACAAATTTCCATTGAAAATATCGAAAATTTGTCTAAAATAAATACCGTAACTCCCATGCATTATCCTCACCTAAATATAATGTGCAAAATTCTAAAGTACCTCAAACCCATCCATCCGAATATTTATTTTATATCACTGTAAAACTCTAGCGTCTCTGCCGATAATAGCGCATGAGAATAGCGTATAGGTCGTTACGTATTTCAGAGAGCTATCTTCAAGGATTTTTGTCGTGCGGCCGTGAATGCTGAAATACATGTTCTTTTCTTCCCTCCGGTACATCAGTTCCAGCACTTAAATCCAATTATTCTTTCTATACCCACGTTACTTGCTAATCTTCTAATGTTATTCAATGGATCTCTTTCAATAAATACCTATTGCATTACATCAGTGGAACGAGCAGGCTGGCGACGCTAGTTATTTGTAAATAAATTTGTTTTTCATTCATAGTTTCATTTTGAGTTTTGAACCTCCGGCCCAGTAACCAAGTCTATTATCTGTGTGGACCAAGTATGAAAGTAACTGTCCACCCCTGGTGTAAGGTGTAAATGAACGATCGTAGGCCTTACTATTTTTACAATGTTCCATAATACACCTTCTTTTATCAGGCCCTTAAACTCGTGGTCTACACTGGATATCATGCTTAAAAGACTACATCCCGACTTCAGTATAGGCCGCAAGTTTGGATACTACTCAACCCATACCGTATGCCTTCCAACATTGTTTCCAAAACGCACAGTTGATGTGTCTTGGGTCTATTCAACAATCGTTCTGGTAGTTAACTGCTCCTTATTTTTCCTGATTATGATTGGATGTATCCTGATCTATTTGTAAGTAGTCATTTCATTTTGAACATAATATTCAAGATGTTGCCAAACTATTATATATCCAAATATTGTTATAGGAACTCAACCAAAAAGTCACTTGCAGTTGACAACGAGGTATCACAAATTAGATCAGAAAAAATGCGGATAAAAATTTCGCTAATTATCACAACGGATTTTCTTTGCTGGGTACCGATTTGTATCATGGGATTTCTTCAACTAGCAGGTACACCAATCTGAACTATTCATATCAAAACAAATGATAAATTTTCCTCATACCTGTGCTGCTTAACTTGAATCTTCCTCAAACTGCCTATGAAAAGTAATTAATACACGTTATTATCAGCATTAATGCGATCTTTGTTTTGTTTATTGAAGGCATAGACATGCCAAGTGATGCCTACCTTCCTGTGGGTCTGCTGGTTATACCAATTAACAGCTTCATGAATCCTATACTGTACAATGTGCCAATGAACACTTGGAAACGACTTTTGGTTTGTCGCAAAAAGAAGTGATCAATGGCTACTCTACCAGATTATTTTGGGTATCATAAATATTGATTGATTTGTTTTGACTTTACTCTCCACGATATCTACGAGCACAGTTCTGTACAGCAATTAAATATATAGCTAGTTCTATTGGTCTGACAAATGTCATGTCAATTGTATTAATATCATTACACAATATAGCCTTTCTTGTTGTTGACCAAATAGATAGCTTTCATTCAAATGTGGAAATAGAAGGCAATATCGGGACGGACTAAAAGTAGGCACTTGCAAATTAGGCACTTTTTTAGGCACTTTGGAAAAAAAGTAAAAAGGGCGTAATACCTTTTAAAAACATAATTTATTAGTTGAAAATGGTCAAATTAAATGTTGAAAACACAAATTGCAACGGGCAAACTCAATAACAATATTTAAAACGTAGTATTAAAGGCAGTCGCACGCGCTTGGTCACCACATATGCTAGGCACATATTTAGGCACTTCGAAAAATAAAGAAAATGGCAATTATCACAAATAAAAGACAGAGACATAAACATATTACCAACACTGATTAGCCTGAGTAAATATCTAAGAGATGCACTTGAGTCTAGTACTGGAATTTAGAAATAATAAATTGTTACCGGTAGGCACTTTTTTAGGCACTCCGGAAAAAAGGTGAAATGGACGTAGTAACTCCTAAAAAGGTAATGAATTAGTTCAAAATATTTAAATTAAATGTTGAACGCGAAAATTGCAACAGTTAAATTCAATAACGATTTTTAAAACGTAGTATTAAAGGGAGACGCACGCGCTCTGTCACCACGTATGCTAGGCACATATTTGGGCACTTCGAAAAAAAAAGAAAATGGCAATTATCACTAATAAAAGACAGAGAAATGAAAATATTACCCACACTGATTAGCCTGGGTAAATATCCAATAGATGCACTTGAGTCTAGTACTGGAATTTAGAAATAATAAATTGTTACCGGTAGGCACTTTTTTAGGCACTTATTTAGGCACATCGAAAAAAAGGTGAAATGGGCGTAACAACTTTTAAAATGAGAATTAATTAGTTGAAAATTGTCAAATTAAATATTGAACACGCAAATTGCTATGGGTGAACCGAATAACAATATTTGAAACGTAGTATTAAAAGGAGTCACACGCGCTCGGTCACCACATATGCTAGGCACATATTTAGGCACTTCGAAAAAAGAAGAAAATCGGAATTATCACCAATAGAAGACAGAGAAATAAAAATATTACCCACACTGATTAGCCTGGGTAAATATCCAATAGATGCACTTGAGTCTAGTACTGGAATTTAGAAATAATAAATTGTTACCGGTAGGCACTTTTTTAGGCACTTCGAAAAAAAGGTGAAATGGACGTAGTAACTCCTAGAAAGATAATGAATTAGTTCAAAATATTTAAATTAAATGCTGAACGCGAAAATTGCAACAGGTAAACTCAATAATGATTTTTGAAACTTAGTACTAAAGGGAGACGCACGCGCTCTGTCACCACATATGCTAGGCACATCGAAAAAAAAATGAGAATAATCACCAATAAAAAAAAGAAAATAAAAATATTAGTCAAAATGATTAGCCTGGGACTGGATGAATATCCAATAGATGCACTTGAGTCTAGTAGTGGTATTTGAGAATAATAAATTGTTACCGGTAAACACCTTTAACCGTGTTTCCCCGAAATTAAGACAGTGTCTTATTTCAAATTTCTTCCTAAAATTACCACTAGGGCTTTTTTTCGGGGGATGTCTTATATTTTAATTTATCAAAACAAAATTACAAAGTAAAGAATTAAGATATTTTCAAATATGCAAAATATAAAAACCGATATCATTGGGTTTACTTGTTGCAATTTGCATATTAATTTTTTAATTTAAATATTTTAAACTAATTCATTATCATTTTAAAAAGTTATTACGCCCATTTTACGCATTTTTAGAAGTGTCTAAATAAGTGACTAAAAAGTGTCTACCGGTAACAATTTAATATTCTCAAATATCACTACTAGACTCAAGTGCATTCATCGGATATTCAAATAGGCTAATTATTTTGACTAATATTTTCATTTTCTGTATTTTTATTCATGATAATTACCATTTTCTTTATATTTCGAAGTGTCTAAATATGTGCCTAGCATATGTGGTGACAGAGCGCGTGCCTCTCCCTTTAAAACTATGTTTTAAAAATCGTTATTGGGTTTACCTGCTGCAATTTCCGCGTTCAATATTTAATTTAAATATTTTGAACTAATTCATTATCTTTCTAGGAGTTACTACGTCCATTTCACCTTTTATTTCAGAGTGCCTAAATAAGTGCCTAAAAAAGTGCCTACCGGTATCAATTTATTATTTCTAAATTCCAGTACTAGACTCAAGTGCATCTATTGGATATTTACCCAGGCTAATCAGTGTGGGTAAAATTTTTAATACTCTGTCTTTTATTGGTGATAATTCCGATTTTCTTCTTTTTTCAAAGTGCCTAAATATGTGCCTAGCATATGTGGTGACCGAGCGCGTGTGACTCCTTTTAATACTACGTTTTAAATATTGTTATTCGGTTCACCCATTGCAATTTGCGTGCTATACATTTAATTTGACAATTTTCAACTAATTAATTATCATTTCAAAAGTTATTACGCCCATTTCATCTTTTTTTCAATGTGCCCAAATAAGTGCCTAAAAAGTGCCTACCGGTAACAATTTATTATTTCTAAATTCCAGTACTAAACTCAAGTGCATCTATTGGATATTTACCCAGGCTAATCAATGTGGGTAATATTTTTATTTCCTTGTCTTTTATTGGTGATAATTGCCATTTTCTTTATTTTTCGAAGTGCCTAAATATGTGCCTAGCATATGTGGTGACAGAGCGCGTGCGTCTCCCTTTAGTACTACATTTTAAAATTATTACAGTATTGGGTTAACTGTTGCAATTTTTGCGTTCAACATTTAATTTAAATATTTTGAACTAATTCATTATCTTTCTAGGAGTTACTACGTCCATTTCACCTTTTTTTCGATGTGCCTAAAAAAGTGCCTACCGGTAACAATTTATTATTTCTAAATTTCAGTACTAGACTCAAGTGCATCTCTTAGATATTTACTCAGGCTAATCAGTGTGGGTAATATGTTTATTTCTCTGTGTTTTATTAGTGAATATGCCATTTTATTTATTTTTCGAAGTGCCTAAATATGTGCCTAGCATATGTGGTGACCAAGCGCGTGCGACTGCCTTTAATACTGCGTTTTAAATATTGCTATTGAGTTTGCCCGTTGCAATTTGCGTTTTCAACATTTAATTTGACCATTTTTAACTAATTAATTATGTTTTTAAAAGGTATTACGACCTTTTTACTTTTTTTCCAAAGTGCCTAAAAAAGTGCCTAATTTGCAAGTTACTTTTAGTCCGTCCCGGCAATATCGCTTATTTCAAAGAAAGCTTACTGGAAACAGAGGTGTTACAAACGTACCTCCTTCTGTTCGTTCAGCCGTCAATTATTTCAGTGATTATCCATTTCCAATTGATTTGTTTTCATGTTAAATGAAAAAAATGGTCACAGACTATGAATTCTAACAATTTTATTTTTTATATAGAACTGGGAAAACTATGAAAAGATGTTGGCTTCAGAATAAAGAATTTTCATGACCAATTCTAAAGAGCAACTTGCAATCAAGTTGTACAGACTCGATTTCCAGATTATGTACTTAAAGATATTTTAAATAAGTACGAGAGAACTTACCACATATATACGTAGGGTACTGTTATATTTGAGACGAGGGTTTTGTTTGTATGTTAAGATATTTTATGAGCACAATTAGAATGATATGTTGTTTGATATCGCAGTATTATTACTCACTGCATATCGCTTATTTCTTGAACACTTTTGCTATGAAAATGAAGCTTCAAATTTTTGTTTCGTTGTGTAGATCAGGGGTGCACCACAACTCAAATGAGGATACGTGCCAAATTTTTCAAAATAATCTTGTCGCGTGCCACGCACAATTGTGGTATTGTAAATTAACTCCCGTAAAACAAACAAATCGCAATAACAATACATAATAACGGATATCTATTCATTGAAACAATTCAATGTTCTGAAAAAAACTGCTGATTTTGATATAAACGTGATATTTTATTGTATATCATAAATATTTCTTTATTTTACAAAACCGTTCGCGTGCCACGTTTGAGCGTATGGCGTGCCAAATTCGGCACGCGTGCCTCGTGCTGTGCACCCCTGGTGTAGATGATCTTTTAATGCAATATGAAATAAAAGTTATAACTCGTGGTTAGCGTAAGATTTTAAAAAGGTTTATCTCAATCGAAATCTAAGTTGCAGTATATACTTCCCGTGCATAATAAAACAATTTGCCCATAAAAGAACTAAATTAACTCATTTTAGGAGTTTCAAACTAACGCATTATTCAACGAACAAATTGTTGGCAATAAAGTCATAGTTAATTTTTTCCAGTCAGTAAAACAAAAAAGGATATATATATATAAATTATGTTTAATTAATATTAAATGGTTGCAAAGCACTGTTATTGCCGGAAGCGATTACATATTACAGAGCCACGCAATCCACCAGATAGCTGTTCAAGGTATTCTCGGTTTTGACCATTAAATAGTCGTTCTGTTAAAAATATTTGAGAGAGCTTCGAGGGGGGTGTTTCAATCTATTTGAAATATTGTTCATCGGTGCTGGGTTTTCAAAAAAACATTCTTGAAGACAAAGAATAAAATGCAAGAAATCAAATAAGATGACAGTATTAATCATAGATATACAACTTACTTTTTTTTACAGGAAATTAGACATTTTACACGTATTTTATGTACGGACAAGCAATATATAAAATACTGAGTACTGTGGTGTCAGTTTAGTGTAAAATATAGCCTAACGGGCGTTTGAAATTAATGCATAAGACGAAAAATACTATGAAAATCGCTTGATAATTCAGATCCAGTGTAGTTTACAGAATAAAATTCACGTTTAATTGGTTTAACACAAGAAAAGCAAGCAATCGTGGCATGAAATTAGGCAAATAATATAGGGTTGCGCAGGAACCGAGTTTAGCGAACATGAGTGATTTTTTTAGCATTTTAAAGGAAAACCAGGTAGAGATAAAGAAGAGAAGTTAACCATTTGCCTTTTTCTTTAGGCCTACGTGTTTGTAAAATTTAAAAGGCATGAAGTACATATTAACGATGACAAAATTGTGTTTTAGTTAAAGGCAGCATTTTTTTTTGTGTAGGGTCGTCGTGACTTTGCTTGATGATTTGGCGCCGCGCGAACCGCTGAGTTTCTGAATGAAGGGAGGTACAGAAGAGCGTCGTTTGAGGCTTTCTTGTATGATAGCAAAAGGTAAGAAGCCGTAGGCCTACAACATTGGCGACGAACTTTTTCTACCAGCGGCAATTGGAATGAATGCAGTTGTTCACGGCAAAAAGAGGCCAAAAATGCGGAAAATTCCTTTATCAAACAATATAGCCTACTGCAGGGGTGGGCAACCCCTGGCACGCGAGCTCATTTATTCGGCACGCGAGCGAGGCCTCGGAAACGAAATCGTTCTCCTTCAGAAAAAAAAGTTTAAAGACTCTGAATTATCTGATATGAAACTGAGTATTCGTTTATTCATTATGATTCGTTAACAATCTATTATTTGAACTTTTTTCATGGCATATGGCTACAAACAAATATATTACGAGGTAATAAATGAGTGAGCTCTCGAGAAATTTTATCGAGAAGGCCGCGTCATTCATTTGGCTACATTCTCACGTGATATAGTCCGTCTGTACCTCCACTTATCTTCATTTCTGCTTGATGGTAAGGCAAGTATATAGCAGTTTAGTGCTATAGCACAGTATGGATCAGAATTCGTTGCACGAAAGGACTGGTATAAAGTATATTTGCTAAGGGCCTACGGGTTACCATTTCGAGAAAAACTGGCGGGCCGATTGGGACAAAATTTGGCATGTAGGTCGGGGACAGTGTCGGTATAACGCAGAGAATTTTTGGGAACGATCGGGCCAGAGGAAAAGGGCCAAAACGGGCTTTTAGGGGCTCAAGGCTGTTTATTGGTCAATCAGCTGTCAATCAAGTCACGCTACAGTGATTTTGGTGTTTAGAGGCCGTTTAGCTTCGTTTCCGGGGCCAGAAAGCGTTTGCCCGAGTATTGGGAATTTATACAAGTACTATTGGGGGTGGGGGCACTGCCACCACCCCCCCAGTGGTGAGAAAACGTGTGAAAAGCCACGCCCACTTAAGCAATAGGGTTTTGGGGCGATTAGGAGCACTTGGAATCGGTTTTTGGGCAAATTGATGCATAAATATCGAAGGGACTAATTAATAGAATATATTACCACCCGAACTTTGGGGATTCCCCTTCCCCGTAACGGTCCAGTGAGTTCGGAATGTTGCGCTTAAGATTTGAGATATTGAGAGAAAAAAATACATAGGTAGGTTGAGAAAAATTAGTTTAATACTTTTTTCAAGGAATTTTTTTCCTCCCATGCCTCCGTCACGGTCTAGTGATTTTGGCCTTTAGCCGGCTTCAGAGAGGTCTTATCAAGAATCTGAAGGCATGGGCATGATCGGAAAAATCATTCGAATCAGTTTTAGGTAGAATTTTTTTTCTCTCACATGTCAGTCACGCTCCAGTGATTTTAGGTCATATCTCGAGAATGGTAATAGATGGGGATGTAATATTTGGGCCATACAAGGTATATAAAGTGAAGATAATGACAAAAAAATTTCGTCACGGTTGAGTGAACACGGACCCTAAAATTGATAGAAATCGATTTCCATTAAGAGTGATCAGTTTATGACGTATTATTTAAACTACTTAATGGACTAAAGTGGCTGGGGGCAGTGCGCCGGACGAATTTCCGCCATTCGTCCGGCGCAACGACCCCGGTGCAACCATCAAATTCATTATATAACATCCGCTTTTTTATACTCAAATCTTTTCCTTACATTTCCCTCGCGGGTAGCGTAGCGACCTTCCCCTGGATTTATGGAGTTGTACGGCTCAATTGGTTACTTGCTAACTTACTGTTATAAATTGATTTCAAAAGTAATATAAGCGATTAGGGAAGGGAATACAAGAGAGAAGTGCAGAAAACGAGCTATTGCGTGATTGGTATGCCATTCCCGAAAGTTCTTCGTGTTTTAAAAACTTTGTAACTGCATTAATTCCAATGTTTTCATCTACATATGCTTCTGAATCTTTTTTTCTCAGTTATGAACCTCATCAAGTCTCGTAACAGAAGTAGCCCGAAAGATGAAATCAGTAGTCCGTGTGTTTCTCGGAAAGTTACAAAATATAAACCCAATGTAAAATCTCTATCGGTGGTAATGCAGCAGCAGGAGTCGCACTGATATAGAATTAGATTTGCTGTTTTTGTTAAATTGCTTTCAAAGAAAGTACTGCCTGGTTGTAAATCGCGTTTTCCTGTGTTTGTTTTATTCTTCTTTGGTGGGCGGGCACGTACATTGTGCGCTTTTTAACTTTTTTTTTAAGTTATGCCCGTCTCCCGGGTATCTCTGCATTTTGTTTTGTCTGTTTACTTTTTGTATTGTTTATGTCAGAGAACCAAAATAAATGATTGATTGATAGAGGGTAATCAAGTCCATTTGTCGGATTGATATTTTTCCGAATGGTGAATATGTCTGTACGTGTTTAAAAGGTTTATTGTGTATTTTCGAATGAAAAGTGGCAGACAATTGTTTTTAATTTTGGTCGGCAAGCTGAAGAATTTTGTCGTTAAATTTAGCACATTTTGGCACGCGAGCCGACAAAGGTTGCCCACCCCTGGCCAACTGCGTCAAGCCGAATTTCCGTAATTAGCAAAGATCCACGCGAGCAACTCAATCTTCGAATTAAAGAAAGCTGTAAATTTGCCACTTGAGCTCGATTAACCGACGGACATTACAAATAAAGCAATTGCAGCTCGCAGTCTCGCCTAAAAAGTGGCTGTAGGCTACTATGTCCCGTCATTGCTGCGGCTTCGTTCTCTTATGTCAGATACATTTACAATAACGATGGTTTACTGTTTTGTCGACCATTGCATGAACGTACTACAGAAATGGATATTTTTCAGAAAGACGATATTTTTACGAAAGTGGGGCTACAATGGAACAACTGTATCGGAGTGTGTACGGACGAAGCCGCAGCAATGACGGGACATAGTAGCCTACAGCCACTTTTTAGGCGAGACTGCGAGCTGCAATTGATAACCTATTACTTTTACCTACTGTATGATTCACCGAGAGGCCCTAGTAGCTAAACGAAAATCTTCTGATCTGAATGCAGTTGTGCAGGATGCTGTGAAAGTTATTAACGTCATTCAGAATCGCGCACTCCATACCCGTATTTTTGCAAATTCATGTGATGACATGAAACCGGACTTGGAAAAAACAACACTTTTTTTGCACATTGAAGTGAGGTGTATGGTGATGGCCCATCGTTGTCATGCAGGAAATTGAAAAAATAATTAAAAATAAAATGAAAAACTGAAAATAAAAGTAAAATAAAAAAATTATTGTAAAAAATATAAAAGATTGACAACGATGAGCCGTCTCGCAGTACCGGTACCAGTGCAATCACTG